GGGGGAGGGGCAGGGGTGCTGGGTGTGCAGAGGGGGAGGGGCATGCTGGTGGGGGGAGGAGGGGCAGGGACACTAGGAGTGCAGATGGGGGGAGGGGAGGGGTAACAGCAGTGTACTGCGGGGCAATCTCCTTACCCAGGACAGTTGCGTGTTTTTCAGGTGCCCAAGGATCTGGAGGTTTTGTTGAGAGCCTCGTTCTTCGGAAGCATCATCATGCTGGTGAGAGCGGTGGCCATGGGGTGGGCGACCCTGGGAGGAGGCCGTTCCCGTGGAGGGGGTGCAGCTCCTTGGGCTGGAGGTCCAGTGTGGGCCCAGGAGGATGGCAATGGGGCTGCTAGTGAGAAGAGCCAGCTGCCTTCAGGGCCCCGGCTCAGTCCTGTGCTGCCTGCCCCCTGCTCCCCTGACCCTGCTCTCTCCCGGCAGAGCCCCGCTGTGGTGGACGCGCCCCTGAAGCTGGTGCTGCAGGTGTCGGCTCCTCCACTCTGGACAATCAAGCCCTTGGGCACCTCCGTCTCGGTCATTGCCGTCCTGAACATCTCCCTGGTGCCCGTCGACCACCCCGCCATCCAGCTCTCCAGCATGACCATGGTGAGCTGCTCCCCGGGCGGGCGGGCGGGCGCAGCAGGGAGCCCAGCCCCACCTGTTGCAGTTCGTGCAGCTGTGCAGAACCTGGTCCCATGAGCCCATGGCCAGCAGCGTGGCATGGGGCAGGGCTGTCTGCTCTGTGGGGTAGGCAGTAATGGGGCTGTGGCCTTGTCTCCCCTCCAGGATGCCAAGCTGAGTGCCAAGATGTCTTTGCGAGGGAAAGCACTGCAGGTGCAGTTGGATCTGCGAAGGTAACTCCCCTGTCCCTGGGAGCCCCTCGCTGGGGCGTCTGGGCAGCGTCCCAAGGCTAGACTGCAGAGCCGTCCCAGGGCTGGACCTCAAAGCTGTGCTCACAGTGCTCTCTCTCTCCCCCGGGCAGGTTCCGGATCTACTCCAAGCAGTCGGCACTGGAGTCCCTGGCGGTGAGTGGGGCAGCACGGCCTGCATGGAGCCCAGGGCATCAAACAGATGGGCCCGATCCAGCAGAACCGGTCTGGGCAGGAGCTGGGATCGGAGCCCCCCCCAGTGCAGCTCCCAGACGGGGAGCCCCTGGCCTTGTGGCACAGCCACAGGGGACCAGCTCTTCTCCCTCCATCCCCAGGGAAAATCCACCAAGGGCTTTGGGGAGAGCAACGGGAGGCCCCTGCGGTGGTGAGGGGAAAGAAGGGGGAGTGGGGTAACATCCAGGTGTGTGTGTGGGGGATGCCTGAAATGGGGCAGCGCGTGGAAAAGATTGGGGGGGGCCTCTCACTTAAAAAAAGAACCCCCAGCCCAAGGCCTGCAGCTGCCCTTGCTTGGCCCTAAACTGCTCTGCCTTGTGCCCTGACCCCAATGCGGGCCTCGGTCCAGCAAACCTATTACCCAGGCCAAGCGCAAAGGGCACAAGAACAGTCCGCCTGGCCCAGTGGCCAGCGCCAGGCGCTTCAAAGGGAATGAGCAGAACAGGCAATTACTGAGTGATCCATCCCGCCTGGCAGTCAGAGGCTTAGGGACACCCAGAGCATGGGGTTGCATCCCTGACAATCTGGGCTAAAAGCCGTTGATGGACCTGTCCTCCAGGAACTTATCCAGTTCTTGTTTGGACCCAGTTATAGTTTTGGCCTTCACAACATCCCCTGGCAACGCATTCCACAGGCTGACTGTGTGATGTTGTACTTCCTTGTGTTTGTTTTAAACCTGCTGCCTAGTAATTTCATCAGGTGACCCCTGGTTCTTGTGTTATGTGAAGGGGTAAACAATGCTTCCTAGTCACTTTCTCCACACCAGTCATGATTTTATACATCTCTATCATATCCCCCGTTAGTCGTCTCTTTTCCAAGCTGAACAGTCCCAATCATAGAATCATAGAATATCAGGGTTGGAAGGGACCTCAGGAGTCATCTAGTCCAACCCCCTGCTCAAAGCAGGACCAATCCCCAACTAAATTATCCCAGCCAGGGCTTTGTCAAGCCTGACCTTAAAAACCTCTAAGGAAGTAGACTCCACCACCTCCCTAGGTAACCCATTCCAGTGCTTCACCACCCTCCTAGTGAAATAGTGTTTCCTAATATCCAACCTAGACCTCCCCCCAGGGCCGGTGCAAGGATATTTTGCGCCCGAGGCGAAATTTCCACCTTGTGCCCCCTCCTTTCCCCCCGGAGCATCGCTTATTATAAACTTTCAAAAATGCGTACTGCATAATGTGGCATTGTTCATTAGAATTAATACAAGGGGGTCAGAGGAGAGCTCGCAGGGTCTCTAAACATTTCCAGGCTCTGAGTACTTCGCCCTCCGGGGGCAAGGAGGGCAGAGCCGGGCTCTCCCAGGGAGCAGGTAAGGATCTCCCTGGGGATCAGGGCCGGCTCCCCGCATTGGCACAGTGCCACCAGGGGGGTTGGCGTTTGGAAGCGGCACCTGTGCCAGCCCTTTCCCCTCCATCACGCTGTGGGGTTTAGTTTCACTTTCCCTTCCCCCCTCTGCTGTGAAAACTGACCATTTATTCCTATCCTTTGTTTCCTATCTTTTAACCAGTTACTGGTCCATGAGAGGACCTTCCCTCTTCTCCCATGACAGCTTACTCTGCTTAAGAGCCTTTGGTGAGGGACCTTGTCAAAGGCTTTCAGAAAGTCCAAGTACATTATATCCACTGGGTCACCCTTGTCCACATTTGTGGACCCCTCAAAGAATTCTAATGGATGGGGGAGGCATGATTTCCCTTTACAAAATCCATGTGCCTCTTCAACATATTGTATTCATTTATGTGTCTGCTAATTCTGTTCTTTACTGTAGTTTCAACCAGTTTGCCCGGTACTGAAATTAGGGTCACTGGCATGTAATTGCCAGAATCACCACTGGAGCTTTTAAAAAAAAATTAGCTATCCACCTATCATCTGGTACAGACATAGGCGCTGACTCCGTGGGTGCTCCGGGGCTGGAGCACCCATGGGGAAAAATTAGTGGGTGCTCTGCACCCACCGGCAGCCAAGCTCCCCTCACCCCACCTCCTCCCCTGAGCCCGCTGCGTCCCCGCTCCTCCGCCTACCTCCCAGCAGTTCCCGCCCGCCCGCCACCAAACAGCTGTTTGGCAGTGTTAGCAGGCTCCGGGAGGGAGGGGGAGGAGTGGGAACATGGTGCGCTCAGGGGAGGAGGCGGGGATTTGGGGAAGGAGTTGGAATATTGGCTGGGAGGGGGCAGAGTTGGGAAAGGGGTTGGAGTGGGGGCAGGGAAGGGGTGGGAAGAGGCAGGGCAGGGCCTCATGGAAGGGGTAGCGTGGAGGCAGGGCCGGGGCAGAGAGCGGGAGTTGAGCACCTACAGGAAAGCGGGGAAGTCAGCGCCTAGGGGTACAGAGGCTGAATTAAGCAACAGGTTGCATAGCAGTCAGTAGTTCTGCAATTTCATATCTGAGTTCCTTCAGAACTCTTGGGTAAATACCAACCAGTCCCAGTGACTGATTACCATTTAATTTAAAAATATGTTCCAAAAGCTCCTGTACTGGCACCTCAGGCTGGGACAGTTCCTCAGCTCTGTCACCTAAAAAGAATATCTCAGGTGTGGGAATCTCCTCACATCTCTGCAGCAAAGACCGATGCAAAGAATTCATTTAGTTTCTCCGCAACAGCCTTGTCTTCAGGCCCTAGATTGCCCAGCGGCCCCACTGGCTGTTTGGCAGCTTCCTGTTTCTGATGTACTGAACTGTCAGCTTTGTGCAGCTTTTGCTAGTTCCTCCTCAAAGTCTTTTTGGCCCTGCCTAATGATACTTTACGCTTGACGTGCCCGAGTTTCTGTTCCTCTCTCTGGTCCTCAGGAGAATTTGACTTCTAATTTTGAAAGGTGCCTTTTTCTCTCTACCCCCTCTTTTCCTCTGGTTAGCCAGGCGGCATTTTTGGTCCTCTTCCTGTTTTTATTTGGGATTTACAGTTCGTTTGAGCCTCTCTCATGGAGTTTCCATGCAGCCTGCAGTCATTTCACACCCAACTGTTACTTTTAATTTCCATGTAACTAGCTGCCGCGTGTTGGTGTAGTTCCCCTTTCTGAAGTTAAATGCTACAGGGATGGGTTTCTTTGATTTCCCCCCCCCCCCCCCCGGCCCCGGATAGTAAATTGAATGACATGATGAGTGCTGTTACTGGGCAACTGTTAGTCACTTCTTGGTCTAGATCTGGGCACTACTGGAATTGCCTCCTCTTGTGACTTCTAGGCCTAGCTGCTAGGCTAGAAATTTGGTCTCTATCCCACCCTGAGGCAAGATGTTCCCCGGGACTGTGGGGAGAGTTGAAATCCCCCCTTATTCTTGGGTTTCCTGTTTTCGTGGCGACTCGGCTTGGGCCAAACCGGCTGGCCCTTCCCAGGGGCCGGGGTGTGCATGCAGGGGGAGCCATGTGGCCCACCACAGCTCTAACGCTTCTTCCTCTCTCCCCCAGCTGTTCCCATTGCAGGCCCCCCTGAAGACACTGCTGCAGCTGATGATCATGCCCATCCTTAATGGTAGGGACTTGTACTGCAGGAGGGGGCTGGGCACCGGCCCCAGGACACTCTCTCAAACGCTCCCTTTTCTTGTCTGCAGAGAGGACAAAGAAGGGCGTCCCGATCCCCCTGCCTGAGGGCATGGACTTCACCAAGGAGGTAGTCACCAGCCACGTGGTACGTGTGCCTCATAGGAGGGGCCCAGCACCTGCCCCAGGGAGGGGGCCCAGTTACCATGCAGAGCTCAGGACCCCACGGTGCTATCCTGAGCTCTCTGCAGCCCCCGAGGCCAGCCCAGTTCAGGCACTGAGGTGGCACACTGCCAGGCCCCTGCGACTCTTTGGCTCAGGGATGGTGGGGGCAGAGGTGAGGCCCTTGCTGGGCTAACGCTCCTTCCCTTCTCACTCCGCAGGGATTCATCACGGTGGGGGCAGATCTCCATTTCTCCAAGGGACTTCGGGAGGTGATTGAGAAATACCAGCCTGCCCGGGCCAGCCGCCTGCCGAGCCAGGAACCAACAGCCCCAGCTGGCTCTGACCCTCCCCTGCCGAGTTCCTTCAACACTACGGAGCCCCAGGCCAGCCTTAGCTAGAAAGCAGGCACCTGGCTCAGCCTGCGCCAGGGCGATGGTAGGAGCCAGCTCCTACAGCCCACCACTGGCCCCTGGCTGGAGCTGCTCTGGGAGGCAGGGCAGCAGTTGCACTGTGACACTAATAAACCGGGTTAGACACTGCCTGGGCAGTCTGGGCATCACTGGCCGAGGGGCCTTTCCCAGCAGCTGTCAGACTGCTCCCCCTGCCCGTACAGCTGATGGGGGGGCCTGGGAACTGGTGCTAGAGCCAGCTGGGGGACACGGTGCACCTGCAAGCCCCAGCAGCTGAAGCAGCCCTTGCAGTAACCAAGCCCCCCCTCCCTGTGATTGGGGACTGGAGACCCAGATTTCCCCAGAGGGCTCTTCTCTCTCCCCACCCCCCAACCTTCCAGCTCAGCTCCATGCTGGCCCCAAGGACCCCCTGGAGCACAGCTGCATTGGCAGGGTAGCTCTCAGAGTCCAGAGGGAGGCGTTCCTTTGAACCCAGGGCCTCTTGCCTGACTCCCCTCAGCCTCTGGAGCTAGCCCCTATTGCCCCCCCATCCCAGCTGTAGGGAAGAGCTATTAGCTCTGGGCAGCTAGCACGAGGAGCCCAGCTGCTCCCTCACCGCACTGGCTGGAATGGCATTGCCCCAGCCCTGCTACAGGCTGCCCCCTTCACGCTGGGGCCCTGAGCCGTTCGGCTGCTGCAGAGACGTGCACTCTACTGCCCAGCAATAGCAGTAGGGCCAGGCCCAGGCCCAGCCAGCCTCCCTGCCCACAGCCCCTCCCGCAAGGGCAAATGTGTGGGAACATGAAGGTCTCCCCCAGCCACAGGGGAGCTGCTTCTCACCTGACCAAGGGAGCTCCTATTCCTTCCACTACTCCTACCCTTAGCGCACAGGGGGCCCTAAACATCCAGGCTCCCAGCCCAGGCACCATGAGCTGGGCAGAAATGAGCAACAGTCACAAGGATCCAGGTTCAGCTGTGACATTTTATTGCAAGGCCCAGGGAGCAGCCCATGCCCCAGGGAGTGAGTGGGGGCAGGGCCAGGAACATCTTCATTTCACACCTCCTTCATCAGGACACATGAGAACTTTCCCAGGGCAGACCTGAGACACAGCACAGGTGGCTGCTGGCTACAGCAAGGCCTGCTGCAGGCACAGGGTGATGCCTAAGCCAGCCCCATGGGACACATGCAGGGAGCCTCGGAGCAAAACAAGGCCATGGGGTGGGTGCTGTTCCACCCCCAAGGTGAGATGGCAGCTCCAGGTCCCAGGGCAGGAGGCAGCAGAGCCCCAGGAGGTAAAGGCCACAGCAGGAGCTCTGGAGGAGTGAAGCCAGCAGCTGCCCAGCCACTCCGCTCTAGCCCCCACCCCCGCAGTGCACTGGTACCAAGCCTGCACTGCCTACAGGCAGGGTCCCCATTAGAGGTGAAGGGCAGCACCTCCCCCCCGAAGCATGGAAACCCAGGTCAGTTGTCCCCTGCTGGAGGAGCTAGGGAGCAGTAGGACACCCACTGGCCTGTGCCAGCACCCAGAGGCTTCGCCTGAGTACTGTGGAAAACCCGTATCTGCTGCAGTTGCTGAGCAGTGAGAGGCCCTGGTCCTGCCAGGCAGTGGCCCGTGGCCTGGGAGGGGGTGGAGAGCTGCCCCAGGCAGTAGTGCAGGCCCTGCTCTGCCAGGCTCTCAGTAGGGCTGCTGTTGAATGAAGCGTTTGAACATGGTGAAGGCGGCTTGCGGTTGGTCTGTGGGCACCATGTGGCCAGCTCCCTGCAAAAGACAGGTGAAGGCACCAGGTCAAGGCCAGCCATGCAGGGCTGGAGGGAGCATCCAAGCAGCCTCAATGGGTGGGCTAGTGATTCTCAACCTCTGCCAGAGCCCAGCCAGGCCCCCCCCAAGAGATCCTGACTCTGCAACTGGCCCAGCCTCCCTCCTGCCTGCAGGGCTGAAGGAGGGTAGGTCCCAGAGACAGAGGCCACAGCTCCCGGGCCTCCCCTCCCAGGCCAGCTCTGTGGGATGGCATGGCCTCAGGTCAAAGCACAGAGGAGCTGCTGAATCCCACCCCGGCATGAGGATGAAGGGGCCCTGCCCCCTCATTGCCAGTCGGGGAATGTGTAGGGCTGCTCAGCTCCCGGCTGCTGCTATGAACACATTGCCTGCAGCCCAGGGTCCCACCCTGCCATGCCAGGGGCTAGTTACCTTGATGGTGAGGAAGGCGATGTTGGTGAATTCCTTCACAAAGCCCCCAATCTGGTCTTCAGTCCCATCGTTGTACAGCCAGGGCCTGCGAGCCACTTGCACCTGGAACCAGAGCCCAACACCCTTAGAGCCGGCCCCTCACTCTCCCCAGGTGTCACTGGACCACAGTTCTGGGCAGGGCAGACCATTCCCTGGACCCTCCTCCCACCAGTACTGGCTCTTTGGCTATGTCTTTACCCTGACGCCTGTCACTGCAGCAGCCCCAGGGGGCTGCGCCCCATCAGCATCTCACTGCCCAGCAAGTCCCCCTCCCCTGCCTACCTTCTGGTCCAGGGAGTCCACGAACCACTCATCCCCCAGGAAGTTGCAGGCCATGTCAATGTCACCATTGTACACCAGGATCCGGTATTTCTGCCAAGAGCACAAAGGCGTCACCTGGGCTGGAGGGGCAGCAGCTCCACGCCTCACCTCGGGATCTGCTCAGAGCAGCTGACAGCCAAGGGCAGGGAGGGCTCAGCAGCTGACGGGTCAGGTGAGGCTCGTGGGGTGCCCCGCCTCAGGTATCACTTCTCCCAAAGGGGCCAGGCTAGGGTTTGGGATCCCCCAAACTCACCATGGTGCCAAGCAGCTTCAGGTACTGGTCGTTCACAGTCATGTACTGCCGCTTGTAGCTGTGGTTCACCTCCGAACTGTGAAGGAACAGGCAGAGTTACACTGGCAGAGACCCACCCAGTCCTGGCCAGGAGGCCGTGTCCTCTCCAGGCCAGAAACCTCCCCACCTGCATATACGCCACGCAGGCGCCTCTGGAGAGATGTGCAGCGCCTGCCTCACTTCGGGGGTGTTCAGGTAGGTGGTGGAGGCTGTGGAGTTGGTGCAGGGGGGTTCCAGGCGAACCCCTTTCTTGGCTGCTGGCATCCGGAGCAGATTCTGGGAGAGGAAGAGTTATGAGAAGAGGAGAGAAAAGCTGCGGCCGTGGGGCAGAGACCCGATTCCCTCAAGCCCCCTGCCCAATGCAGCAGGGAGAGTAAACCGCCTCTGCCCAGGCCCACCATGGGCAGCACTGCAGGCTGGCCAGAGCCAGTGCCAGCCCCAGAGCTTGAGACACTGCCTGCCCCTGCAGTCATAGCAGGTCAGCACAGCAGGACAGGGGCAGGCAGGTGCCCGTTCCCCACCCCCCAGGGAACAGGAGCCCTGACTCTTACCTGCCTCCAGGAGTATTTCAGGGGCTGCTGGATGAAGGAGATGCCCAGGTCATGGCTGATGAGCTGGTCCTGATCATACCTGCAGCCAGGACGAGAGCAGCCTAAGAACAAGCGGCTCCACCCCCCCCCTCACTTGCTCAGGTTCCCCTTTCTAGGGCAGAGTATTAGACTCAGCCATTGGCCTCGGCATCCTGCTGAGGAAGGACAGAGCCCCAGACAGCAGCCGGGAAACCCCAACCCAAAGCCCCTTCCTGGAGGGATCCTCTCCAGGGCCCCTGCCGAGACAGCCAGCAAGGATCTATCTGCAACAGGCTGGCTGCACTCCCACCTGCTACTGGGCCACAGGACTTTGGAGCGGTGCCCATCTCTCCAGACTCAAGTCAGCCACCTGGAGGGGCTGTAGCCAGCTGTTCCTACCTGTAGCTTCCAGGGACACCACCAGCACATGGGGCATAGAGATTGTAGATGTTCAGGCCCGACTCCTCCACGATCTGGATCATCTCTTGCATCTGGAACAAGCCATGGGGGTTGGAATCCAGCAGGCATTACAGCAAGTCATGGCTCAGGTGCTACCATGGTCTGCAGGGCATTGACTGATTCGAGGAGCTGCCATGGGCCCCATCTGCTCAGCCACCTGCCCCTTTAAACCCTGCCCTTGGATCCAATCCCTCATGGAACCACACCTGTTCAAACAGCCAGGGAAAGGACCTTGCTGCTGGTGCAGAACCCAACAAGGGTTCAGGGATCAGCCAGACTCTGCTCTGCCCTAGGGAATGGTAGCACTGCTACAACAGGCTAGGTGGTACTCCGGGGCCTCCCCAGCACTCCCTGGCCCATACTCACCCTGAGTGTGCAGTTCAGGTTGGAGTTTTTATGGAAGTTGCATTTTCCCTGGGAGCAGCAGAAGCGCTGCAGATCTGTCCACAGCCTGGAGCAAGAGACTCTTGTGAGTGCAGGAAACAGCAATGCAATAGGCCAGGACATGAAGCCACCAACCCGTAGGAAACTCCAGTGACTACCAAGTGCTGCAGCACTTCTCTGCTACACAGGCTCCATGGGCACATCACCCCTGTCCTCTACTCCCACAGGACAGCAAGGAGAGTCCTTATCTTCAAGGCACTCACTGGCCTGCATGCAGAACACCTACGAACCTAAGGCTCTGGGCTGACAATCATGAAGGATAACTCCACTCCTCAGGCACAATTGAGCTGTCCCAATCAGGGAAAAGCAGGTGACAGAGCTGCCTCAGGAGTGGCTCTAGACTGTGGGACAAGGGACCACCCAAACCTCCACACCTCCTGCGCCAAGTGCCAGGCATGCTGCTCCAACCAGCCTTCTCCAGTATAACAGAGCAGCGCCAGCACAGAAATCAAATCACCCCTCCACTGCACACAACCCTCCCCCTGAGGAGTGGAAGAACAAGCCCCACGTGACAGATGTCAGTCACATCACTTACTGTGTGCCCAGACAGTGCTCAGACGCTGCAGAGAGGAGCATGGGAGGAGACCTCAAGTAGAACAGAATGGAATTCCCACTCCCAGCCAGCAAGCACAGTCCTGAGGGGCGTGGGCCAGTCCTCCAAACCCTTTCACAGCAGATCCCTTTCCCTGGAAAGGCTGCAGCCCCCCAGCAACAGTGAGGAACTGGCCCGCTGGTGCCCCAGCAGTGCTGGAGTAGCCAGGCTTCAAGGGCAGCACCCTGGTCAGGGAGGCTGGGCCAGAGCAGAGAATGGCCACCAACTCCCCCATCTGCATTCCG